GAAAAAAAAGTTGGGCTGTGAATGACTGTCACCGCGGTGGGGGAGGGGGGTTGTATGTTTAAAATTGTATTTTTTATTCTTAAATTTTAAATGTTTCTTTTGTCTTGCTGTGAGCCACCCAGAGTCCCAATGGGAGTGGGCGGCATACAAATTTTATTAAACTCAAAACTCGAATACTTGTATATAACATGCTAAGGAGGCTGGTGAGTGAGATACCCACTTCCAGTAATAGATGGTGGGGAGTAGCTAAGAGGTATTAGAAGGAAAACCTGTGAGTGCTATGAGTTTATGGTAGCAAAGACCTTTATACTATTTATATATATTTACGTGAGAATGTTCAAAGCATCCAAAGAGGTTATAGCCAAAAAGAAAACAACCGTTTTAGAAATTAAAAGGGTTGACGAAGAGACACAGCGAAGCAATGAAGTCAATGACATTCATGTAGATCACCACAGAGAATTACTCTACTTAAAAGAAGTCATTTTATTTCTCCTTCCCTTATATTTAACTTTTCATAATGGGGATAACAAACCAATGGCTTGGAATCTATGTAGGATTTCCTAAGCACATTCTTACTTGAATCAAAGTGTCAGCTCTTCTATCAAGAGCAGACAAACTAAGAGAAAGTTAAATCAGCTACAGAGGCTGATTTAAAATAAAGGATCTGCAGATAGGATTGTTTTTTTGTTATTGTTTTGCTTTCTCCTTTATTTGCTATTCCAGCAGTTGATTCTTCCAGGTAAAATTGTTGAGAAACAAACTGCCTTAGATTCTAAAGTTAGGCCCTTTAGGTTGTAGAACTAATCAATTTATTTTTAGAACATTCATCTCTGGCAATAGATAACTGGCAGCTTTCTAATTCTACTGAAACTCCTTGAATCTGGCAGAAAAACACATGAGGGGAAATAATCTATGAAAGCTTAAAACACACACACAAAAAAGGAGCTTGCATAAGGTAGATCTTGATGAGTAGATTAAGTAGAGTGTCTTAGTAAATATGATGCTGATCTCCATTTTATGTAGAATGGAGTTTTTAGATCTAGGTAAGTTGAAGGGGAGATAATGAATACAAGTAATCCTTGACTTACAATCCCAATTGGGACCAGATTTTATGTCATAAATCATTATAGTCATCGGTCAAATTGCAGTCATGTAAACACAAGATGTTGCAAACCAGTAGTAAAGAAACAAGCGTATTATTCTTGCATCCATACCTGACTTTAGGAAATTTCATGGCATGAACAAGAGATTGTCTTACTAATTGTTCCCAAACCTTATGAGATACCTTAAGAACAGTGATTTGCTCAAAACCTGTCAATAAACCTCATGCTGAGCCAGAATTTGGATATCTCTCAGTTTGATTTTAAACTGTGGAAAATACAGCATATGAATGTAGTAACGGCAGGAAACCATATATTACAATATTACATCCACATTCTATAATATCGTACAGTCCCCAGATTCCTCTCTTTCACAGTTCATAGAGAACCTCTACGGATCTTTAATTTTGCCAAGGAAAAGAAAACTTAAATGGACCAATTAGTTAATTCTCTATAGGAGGATCAATCAATACTTATTTCTCACCCATCCTTCTCTACTTCCTGAATCCAGCCCCATCTTTTATATTTGTCCCAAATATATACATACAATTAGTTATTTTTTTTCTTTTTAAACTTCCAGAGGCTTCTCTTTTTGATTTATCCTACGCTTCAATTATGACTCAGTGTTACAGAAACATTTTTTTTAAGTAGCAATAGCAATAGCAGTAGACTTATATACCGCTTCATAGGGCTTTCAGCCCTCTCTAAGCGGTTTACAGAGTCAGCATATTGCCCCCAACAACAATCCGGGTCCTTATTTTACCCACCTCGGAAGGATGGAAGGCTGAGTCAACC